CTTTGGAACAATTTTTAGTTCGGTTAATAAATTAACATGGGAATAAACTTTCCTTTTTTTTAACCACTTTTTACACCACTCTTTACGTTTAATAAGTTTATTTTTATTTTTCAAAACTAATAATAAACCGAGCACGGCTAAAGCGTCGTCGTCCGATGACATCTTGAGAATAAAATGGTGTTGTCTTCAGTCAAAAGTGAACGTGTGTGGGCATAAGGGACGTCAGTTTTCTCTGTCAGATAAAAGTGATCAGTAAAAACTCACAGTTAAAAGCGATCGTGTGTAGTGGCTATAAAGGTGATCGCATTTACTTCAAATTTAATGAGTCTCTTGATGTTTTTGAACAATAGTTGTTATAAGTGGTTTATGTTACCAGCAAACAATAAAAGAAGTTGATTTTATTTAAATTTTGTCCTTTTTATTCAACTTGTCACACCCGTCACAGTCTCATGTCATGCCCGTCACAATGTTGGTAGAGTAACAACTAAATAAATTAATTAAGTATTTACCAGATTCAAGTGTAATACAAAAGCAAATTTATTGAGCATCTTAAAAATATTATTGATTTTTTAATAAGCTCAATAATTTCGCTAAACCATCGACATTTCTAACAGAGGTGTCAAGTCACGCAATAGTTGGGATCACACCCGACACAGGTCTTTAAATAACTATATCTATATTTCTAATAGCCCTAAAAATTTTATTCTGGCAATATATTTAAATTACATTAAGTCTACGGGTTAATGGTATAACTCTAGGTAAAAGGTAGTTTTATTCAAAAGTTATTTCTCAAAACAAAAGTTGAAATGTCACACCCGTCACCGCGGACTGACCCAGGTAGCTAAATCGCTATCATTCTTTTTTATGTCAGCCTAGAATTTGGCTAAACAACTTGCTCCTATTGAGCAACATTCTAATGACATGACAATCAGTAATTATTCTACTGAAACCACTCAAAATAATAATAAATGTTTAAATTAAGCAATCAGACAAAAGATAATTCTTCTTGTATATTGTTAAATAATAATGTACCATTACCTGAGGGATAGGATTCGGAGGGTTGACATTAATGGTAATAAGTCTCCGTGTTTGCTGGTTAAGATCGGTGTTCCATAGGGCTCAATCCTAGGTCCTTTCTTATTTTTAATTTATATTAATGACTTACCTTACTATGTAAAAGATAACCATAAGATAGTATTGTTTGCGGATGATACATCACTTTTATTTAAACTCAAATGCAAGGTAAAAGTTATTGACAACGTGAACAATTGTATCTCTAAGGTAGTCCACTGGTTCAATGTTAACAATTTATTACTTAATGAAGGAAAAACGAAATGTATGAAATTTGTATTACCTAATGTAAAACAGGTAAAAACCAGTGTGAATGTAAAGGATAGGAATGTGGAACTTGTAGCCACCACAGTATTCTTAGGGATAACTTAAGATTCAAGCTTCAAGGGGCCCACATATTGATAAATTGTCAAATAGACTTAGCTCTGCAGTACCCTTAGTACGAGTTTGAGCTCACAAAAACTATCATAGTTACGAAGACACTTATGAAGACTTTTACTTTGCCTTTACACAGAACTAACCTTGGTCTTCATCACCCTCTGGCCAGAATCTGCAATACCTATTACGATATTAACACAAAATCACCCAACTTGGATATTTTTGACATTTCACAGAAAAACTTTAAAGCAACATTGTTTGAGCTGCTCGATTCTCACTAATTCCGCATTATTATAGTTATTATTATTATTTTTTGTATCAATTTGACATTACATTATTATTTTTTGCATCAATTTGACATACATTATTAATTTTAAATCAAACATTAATTATTAATTGTACTATTTTTAATTCTTTATTCATTGATCATTGATTTTTAATTCCATTACTAGTACTTTTCTCAATTCAATGTTGTGTGTACTTGTAAAGGCTTGCATATATGTCTTAGAATAAGTATTATTTTAATTTTTTAATGTTTTTATATGTTTAGCTGTAAGTACACCTATTAAATAAATAAATAGTTTTCGTAATTGTAAATTATGTTTCTCTGTCTATTTTGGTGAAAAGTAACCAAATATATGTAAAATTTAAGAAGTTGCAAATGATTTAATGGTAGAATTTAAACACTGTTTGTTTGTATTCAAACGTAAACAATAAAATATACGAGTGCAAGCTCACAAAAACTATCATAGTTTTCGTAATTGTGAAACTCGTACTAAGGGTACAGCATTTGCCGTAATGAAGATACGCCAGTTAACAGATGTAGGTACAGCCAGATTACTGTACTTTAGTTATTTCCATAGTGTAATGTCGTACGGAATTTTATTGTGGGGAAATGCCGCCGACGTTCAAATTATTTTTGTGCTGCAGAAGAGAGCTATTCGATCAATTTATAATATTAAAGTTAAAGAATCGTTAAGGGATAAGTTTAAAGAATTTGGAATAATGACGGTCGCATCACAATACTTAAAAGAAAATTTATTACTTGTAAGAAAAAAAAAAATTGTTCCTTTAAAACAGTGATGTTCACACACTTAATACAAGAAACAAAAATAAAGTAACTTTACCTGCTACTAGGCTTCACAAAATTATTAATTCATTTAAAGATCTTTGTGTTCGCTTAAACAATAAAGTCCCAAGCTATATCCAAGGATTTACCATAAATAAATTTAAAGATAGTATTAGAAAAGCACTTATTAAAAAGGTTATTACAAAGTGTCTGATTATATTACAGACAAAAATGCTTGGGTTTGAACTGTTCCAATCATTCCAACAGGTTTTCTATAATAAATAAATCATAATTGTATTGACGTTGTAACAACATAATGATTTGTTAATGTTGTTACATTATACTTTTAAAGTTTTTTTCGCTCGTTTTTTTCCGCAGCTAATAAATGTGTCCATAACGAGTGGCAGGGAAAAAAATTTGTTTTGGATGATTCAAAAGAGTTGTACTATACATCCAATTTGAATAAAGATATATTGATTTCTGATTGTAATTACAAAGTATAAACCAAGAATCAACTTTAATTCAAGTTAAAATTTAATTGAAGTTTCTGAGTGTGGTCATGTTTTTAATCAAATTTGGAAATCTGTAAAGGTCATGCAGAAAAACCTTAGTTTATGAGAGCATCCTTTTTCAATGAGCTTGCTTTATAGCTGGTTAGACCAATGGCATGTTGTTATTTGAAATAAAAATTGAATACTTTGCAAATGTTTTTAGCACTTCATGAGTACAACCATTAGGAAATTTAATTTTGAAGAAAACTGGTATTCCAACAGACACGTAAAACTGTAGTAAGATTAGGAAAATTGTATAATTTTAAATTAAAATTTGATTCAGTGCAAAGTCTACCTCTGGGAGTCTTCCAAAGGTAGACTTTGCATTTACAGAAGCCACACCTTAAGCAATTTTGCTAGGCAATCTATGGGCCCAGACATAAAATTATCATTTAATAATAATTAAACATCAATCTCAAACATGACCGCTAGTGCTGTCATCAAGTGTTGTTAGTGGGCAATCTAAGGGCACAAACAAATCTCTAACAATTAAACATCTTTCTCAAATATGACATGTCATATCATTTAATTATTATTAAATGATAATTTTATATTTGTGCGCTTGAATGCCCTTCAAAATTGAGCTATGCCTAAGGTGTGGTTTCTGGGAGAATGTGCTGTTTCTGTTACTTATATTGATGGAGTAAAGATTATGGATATATTTTATTCATACATTGAAATTTTCATTGTTTAAGTTTATTCTGTTACCTTATAGAATTGGCATAATCTCTTATGAACATAATACAAAACAAACGCACAGAAAGCACATAATGCAAATAAGTACATTGTGTTATCTTGAATGGTTAAAAGTGCCATAATTATAGAATCAAAACTAGTATTTGGTATTATTTTATTATTTAGTCTTATCTATTTTTTACAATTTCTTCTTAAAGGTTCCAAATTACTAACTGGTAAGATGCTGATCTTCTCGGTAAAGGCCTCTACTAGATGATTGTTTGTTATTGTATTTTATATAATCATAGTCACCCTTAGCAAAAAATGTGGTCTACAGTTAGACTTGGTCTATTTTTTGCTGTTCATGTCTTCTCTTTGTAACACTAGCGAACTGCCTGGTTTTGCATGTGCGATATTAATTTTTACATTATAAAATACAGCCTGTGTCACTCAGAAAAAATGTAGCTTTCTTATGGTGAAAGAAATGTTATTGCGTTTATTTGTTGCAAACACATGTAAATGTAATCTTTCTTCTTAAGGGCCTGCGCTGCGTTAAGCGGGAGCACGAAGCAGACGACCACTCCGCATGCAGTAATAGTTATTTCAGACAGCGCTGCGATGAGCGACCCACCCCTACGCACGGTGCAATTACTATTACAAAACATTAAACAAACACGTGGAGTGGACAGACGCGCCGTGCTCCTGCAAAACGTAGCACACGCCCTAATAATATTAGTATAGGAGAGTATTAGGAGTATTATTAGAGTATATTGAGGAGCTCGATGGCGCAAGTGGTTAGCGCGTTAGGCTGCGATCGTTGAACTTAGCAACTTTCGCAGTGGTCGGTCATTGGATGCGTGACCAAAAATTACTATCTCGAGCTCCTCCGTGCTTCGGAAGGCACGTTAAGCCGTTGGTCCCGGCTGCATCTGCAGTCGTTAGCACTCACCAATCCGCACTGGGCCCGCGTGGTGGGTCATGGCCCAATCTCCCATCTCTCCATTCCATCCATAAGAAAGGCCTGTGCCCCAGCAGTGGGGACATTAATAGGCTGATGATCATGAGGAGAGTATTAACACAGTAGTATCATAGTTATATATTTTTTTTTTTAACAATTTGCGGGTTTGAGTCCCCATCTGCTGTCGCATTTGCGTGTTTTTTTTTTCTAATAAAATTTTCTTTTCGCATCATGATCGGGTTTCAATGTCAGTCGATGTTCCGCAACAAGGTGGTATGAGGCAAACGTTTGTTTCCAGTATGCACAGCAGATGCAGGCCATGCAGGCGATGGGCGGCATGCCCCCGCTGCCCACGAGCGCGGCGCCCCCCGCCCCGGCGCCCCCGCCCCCCGACCACCCGCCGCCGCCGCCGCCCCCGCACGAGAACAACCAGCCTCTATACGGAGCCGCCACCGCCGCCGCCGAGCCCCCCGCGCCCGCGCCCGTCCCTCCCCCAGCGCTAAACAGGCAAACCAACCCCAACTTGACCACCGTCAACGTGACAGGTAACAACCAATGGTCGTACGGTGCGCAGGCCCCGCCGCCCGCTCCTGCTGCGACGACCCCTGCGGTCGCAGCCGCCCCCGTCGCCGCCGATTCGGAGGCGCTCAAGAAGCTCGCCGAAGAGGAGAAGCTTTTCGATATTCAGTTTCAGAAATGGGAGGAGGAAATCGACAAGTGGCGGCGCGAGAACGTGAACCACCCCGATAAACAGGCTTACAAGGAGTACGAGGACAAGTTCGAGGCGTGCCGGGCGCAGCTGCTCGAGCGACGCCAGCAGATGAAGCTCAAGAGGGCGCGCCTCACCAAAGCCGACCCGAACTCGCCGATGCCAGGTAATGCACTGACTTCGGTACCTCCCCCGACTTTGCAAAACGCACCTAGTAATAGTTACGCCCAAAATAAACCTCAGAGCTATAGCAATAAGCAGGATCAGAGTCGTATGAACAAAAACGCTCCTTATCAACAATCATTCAATAAGCACTACGATAATTCGGCCCCGCCTGTATCTTACGGCAAAGGCAATGTTGACCCGCAGGGTCACTATGAGTCCTACCGAAATGTGGATAATTATACGACCGGGGGCGATTATTCGGCGAGTGATAATTATTCGGGAAATGATAACTATTCGGGCAACGATAACTATTCGGGCAACGATAACTATTCGGGAAACGATAATTATTCGGGAAATGACAATTATTCGGCGGCGGATAATTATTCTAAAGATGATAATTACTCAACCAACAAATCCAGTTTTTTACCTACGAGTGGCGCATCAAAAAATATACCAGGATTAGATTTGGTGCCTGACGCAGATAAAGCAGCGATGCCCCAACAAGATGTCATTGATATCACTGAAGAGCAGGAAAGGGATAACTATAACCAATCATATCAACAAACTAAACAGCCAGATTATTCGAAAATATCTAAAGGAATAAACAATATTCTTGGTGATGAGAAAATAATGAACATTCTTTCAATGGTAAGAGGACAAACTGCCCCCCCCAATAATCCAGGAGTGCAAGGCACAGGCAATATGCCTTATAACAATCAAAATAACCAGATGAATAATCAATGGAACAGAAATGATAGTAATCCACAATATAATGACAATCAACAGTATAATAATAATCAACAGTTTAATAACAATGCTCCTTTTGGGAACCGACCAAACAACATGCAATACAATAACAGACAGCAACCTAACCATCCGATGCAACAGAATCAGGGTCAGTTTAACAGATTTCCTCCTAATCAGAATCGTATGTATGATAACAACCAGCCTAACCAAAATCAGGATCAACATTACAATGAAAATGAACAATATGGTATGCAAAACATGCCCCCAAGGAATGATCAGCCTCCAATGAGACATAATGCCCCTGCACCGAGGCCATTGATGGAATTCTCTATGCCAGCTAATGATAACCAGTTTAGAGGTCCACCAAATAGACGAATACCTGAAAACGTCAGACCTCCAAGTCCACCGAGGCCGAAATGGATAGAGGAACCACTGTTTACTCCATCAATTATCGTTGAATATGAACACAAGCCTCTAAGAGTGAAAGGTAATTGAGTGCAGTAAAATGATTGTTACCTTTTTTATCAACACACTAGTTCTGGGCACCAAATAACAAATACACTTGTAGTCTTATTGATTTATGTAACATCATTTGTAGGAGGATATCCAGCAGAAATAATTTAAACTTTTTAGAATTTTTTATTATTGTTTGGAGTCAGCTTTTGTTGCGTTTGAAATTTACATGACATAATTATTGTTTTATAATTGTTAATAAATTTTTAGGCTAATCTCTGTTTTCATACAAGGTTTCCATTAATATATTTGAGTCAGCATTAGAGCTCTTGAGTTGAAGTTACAAAAATTCTTCACAATATAAAAACATCACAATAGCATTACAACTCTTTCGGCCATCAATGATCGGCAGATTTATTAATTTGATTAAAGCTTAGATAAAATAATGATTTTGTGACAGCGTCGAATAACTTTCGTATGAATTGCGCAGAATTCGTGTGTTTTGTCTTTATTGTAACTTTTTGAATTTATTATTTTTGACTAGTTAATAATACTCCTTTTGTTATTTTCAGCACGCGATTTTATTGAGCCCGTGCATACATTTGATTACAATCACATGTCAAAAGATGGTGAAAATAAGAAAAGAAACTTTGAATGGGAGGCCGATGAGTTATTTTCAAGGAAACCTCGCCGGGAGAATCATCCTCCCGACTATGTGGGTCAAGATAAATATGCTAAAGATTTGTACTCTAGAGATTTCGAAAGAAGAGTTCCGAGAGAGAGAGAAGAAATAAGAGAAGATTATCGACATAAACCGTTAAGGAATGAGTATGAGGAACGTAGAAGGCCTGATGATCGTTATGAAGACAGACGTCGCGACGACAGATTTATGAGGCGCGACGACAACCTCAGGGATAGGGAAAGAGATAGAGATTGGGAAAGGGAAAAGGAAAGAGACTGGCAAAGAGATAGGGATTTACAGAGAGACAGGCCTAGAGATAGGGATAGGGATTTCGGGAGAAGGGATGACAGTAGAGTACGTAGCCGAAGTCGCGATAGAGACACACGCAAAAGAGAACACAGTAAAGAAAATTTCGAACCTGAAGTTGCGAAAAAATCTAGAGAAGCTAGGAACGTGGAAGAAGTAGGTGAGCCCAAACACATGGTCATGATAGACGATATACTGGAGTCTCCCGGCCGAGAAATAAGACCATCAAAAATAGTTATTATTTTGAGAGGTATGTAGATTTATAACCTATTTTCAAAAATAAGTTTTTAATAGGGAATATCTTCGATCAATAATTCTATAGATAATGGGTCAGCGCTTAAAATCCGTCTCGGCAAATATAGACTCACTTGAGAAGTGAGATCTTATTTTCAATTAGTTCGGTTAATATACAGCCAATGGGTCGGTCGGTAAAAAGTCGTATGTACCAAATAACATTTCGTTATTGTGTTATTTCTTTTTAATGTGCAGGTCCCCCGGGCAGTGGTAAATCGTATTTAGCTAAATTAATAAGAGACAAAGAAGCGGAGTACGGCGGCACTGCCAGAATCATGTCTATAGATGACTATTTCATGCAAGAAGGTGAAATCGAAGAAAAGGATCCTGCCACGGGGAAAATGGTATGGTGTCTATATCATATAGTCTTAATAGTTATGTATTATATGCTGTTTCTTTTTAAGATTTCGGATAAATAGTGAAAATTTAATTATACTTTTAGAAGTTACCATAATACGAAAAAACAAACAGTCAAATCCAATTTTTTTAATATAGAATTTTTTGAACAGGTATCAAGCATGATTTATTACATTTTTTTTTCTTGATTTTTTTTATTGAATGATTTTTGTGCGTGAACAATAGGAAATTGTAATAAAACTTTTTCAGTGCAAATTTTCTTTATTTAAATTAACGAAAGTTTGCACTGCATTTATATACTAAATATACTTTATCGGGCAAGTGGGCCAGTTATTATTTGATAGTACATAGGTGTGTACTTAATTAGATTTTTTAATTACAGGGAATTTTGGTAAAGTCTTGTAGTTTATAAGCTCAAAATTTTCAAAGCAAATAAACAACTATTATTATTTGTGCTTTTTTTTCATCAATAGTGTTATTATTTACAGATAAAGAAGCCTACTCTAAAATACGAATATGATGAGAAATTAGAAGAGTCATATTTGAGCTCATTGAAGAGAGCTTTCAAGAGAAGTCTGACCGATGGTTACTTTACGTTCTTAATATATGACGCAGTAAATGAACATCAAAGACTGTATGCCGACATATGGAATTACGCACGACAAAGTGGTTTCCAAGTACGTATCAATGATAACAAATGTCAGATTATTCATGTCTCTACGCCTTATGTTCCTTGTAGAGAATACATAAAAAATAAAAATATAGAATTAATTTGCTGCTATCTTTCCCGTGCATATAGTGTAACTTTGTCAATGGTCAGGGTTCTTTGACGACCTCCGTAGCCGAGTGGTTTGTACGCCTGATTTCATGGTGTCGCCGACTCGAGAGGCCCCGGGTTCGAATCCCGGTGGGGGCAGATGTGTGATGAATACGAGCATTTGTACTCCAGTCATGGATGTTTAATATGTATTTCTATATAAATATACTTATATATGTACAGTATATGTATTCTATGTGTTACCCTAGCATCCCATAACACAAGCCTTACAGTGCTTGCATTGGGGCTAGGCTAATTGGTGTGTTTAAAAGAAAAAACTTGTGCTTACATAAGATGACATTGTATAGGTATCTTCGTCAGGATGTTTCTGTGGCAAAAATTAAGATACAATCTATACCGAATATGACTATGAATATGACATTGAGTAACATTAAAAATAAAATGATGTTTAACCAACATTGATATTATGCTGAGTTTTCATTGAATGCAGCAATTCAAAGGATCTCGTGACCAAAGAACTTAACAACAAAACAGAGCATTGAGAAAGGACAATGTTAAAATTGGCCTAAGAACCAACACCAATTTAGCATTTATGATAATTCTAAGTATATTTTTTACGATAATTATCAGTATTTAGATTGTGACGGACACTTCCAGTTAAGTAAGCTAAATTGAAAAGTTAAAAAATAATCTGAGACAATAAATACCATTTTATGTGTATAATCTATGGCAGCGCTGCAAACAAATCACTCTTTCTTCCTAATGCCGGCACTTCACTTGTCTTTTCGTATTTGCTATTTTTGAACATGACATCAGTCTGTCCTTTTCATTCCTTATAAAGCATGACAAGGACAAACTGTTGTCAAGTGAAGCGCCGGCATAAAACTCGTTACTCTGTGGTTGTGGTGCATGCAGTTTGCATTCGTAGTAATCTGTGGCATTCGTGCATTCCAAAGAGTAGTATAATATACCGGAAAGTGCGTTCTCGTTTCTGATTTTTTCATACAACATAATCAAACATTTTATTGTAACTACGAGGGCCCTATTTCACCAAGTCGACATATGTCGTACTTATATAGACTTAAGTAATAAGTACAGGAGAATTTATGAAGAAAAAGTAAATTTATCCTGTGACATCACTGATTTTGCATTCAAAGAAAAAATCCGCATAAGCAGAACTAGTATCGGAACATTTAATTAATGAAATTGGTGCAGTACATAGATCATTCCACAAAAAACCGTCGGCTGACACATGCCAGTGACATATGTCGACTTTGGTGAATTAGGGCCCAGTAAGTTATCCATTTAAGTGTCTCATTGTGTCAATCATTAAACCCTCTGCGAGATATATGGCATAGAATTATTTCATGTCCATAGCACAAGCTTAGCTATGTTTGGGTTTCAATGAATGGTATGTATGATCTGGAGTTTAGTATTTCAATACTAATACATACCATGTGCATGGTTTCTTAGGTGTACGTTTGCACCATGGATACAGACAGCCAAATATGTTATAAGCGAAACATTCACAATCGCACGTTAGAGGACATACAAGTGATATGCACACGGTTTTTCCCGACTCCTTCGCAATATATTCAGTTGGACGCGACAACTTTACTGCAGAACGCAGCCATTACTGAGGTCCAGATGGAGGATGTGGAAGACGATGTCATTATGGAAGATGCCGAAGAGACCGAGGTGAGATGAGGTTACCCCGAACTCAGACCTATGATATATGGACGCAAAGACCTTTTTAAAAAGTAAAAGAAAAAACTTATGAAAACCACTCTAGAAAAATAAAAACTTCGTCCAATAACCAAATATTATGTAGATCATACACCGTTGCTTTGAAGTAGCTTTTTATTTTTCCGGTTCGGTTGTTTCATGTAATCTCACATTTAGATTTGTAAAATTGGTTTTGGTTTTCGAATTCCCAAATGTTTTAATTTTAATGAATTGCCGAGGATAGGTTAGGGCTAATAAATTTTATTCCAGCTTTGTACTAAAGTCGTAAGGTGGCGCCCCCCCCCCACAGGTTGAAAGCGTTTTTACTTCGAAGTGGGAGAAAATGGACGACGCTTCGCAGCTAGGTAGGTTATTAATCAAGCTTACTTATTTAACTTAACATTTACTGTGTATTGTTTTTGTACTATTATTTAATTATAACATATAAGTTTCAACAGCGTTTTACACAATATAATGTAATAAGCATTTGGTTTAGACGCGTCGGTACTTTAGCTAGTTACAGAAACTCGATTCGTATTGATGCAGAGAAAAGTCGACATCGTCGTTACATCTGCCGGTTTTGACCGTTTTTGGTTTTTGTCTTTCTGACGTGATTAAACATGTTCATGGTGATTTTCGCGAACGGTTTTTGTTTTCCGCCGATTTTGTGGGAATTTAGTTGTTATTACAAGGTGGTAAGGGTTACTTCGCTTTGTTGCAGCGAGGCTCGACGGCACCAGCAAGCCGCTCCGGTCCTCGCAACTCTCCATGGAAGACTATCTACAACTAGACGACTGGAAACCGAACAAAGCAGCTCCGGGCAAGAAAACTGTGAGTATAAATAAACACTTAAATCATTATGCTTACCTAGGAATTTATGGTCTTATTTATCTTTGGTCGGTTTACGAAGCGCCTCGACATGTTTGTTATTATTTTACATTTTACCGCGTGGCATTTATTTTCGATGACATTAAAACATGAAATGAACTGATGTGGTATAATTTTACCACGATTACGATACTATATACATATTGTTGATTTCTTCAACTATCATATTGCATTTGACAATGGTCGGACATTGAAATATTGATTCGGTCCACTGTTTTGTGGAACCGCACCACATTACGCTTTTAATGCATTGCACAAAAAGAAAACTTGACAAAACATGAGTGTTTTTTTATTTAAATAAAAAACTAATTTTGACTTAAAAAAAAAAAAAGTTTTCGAAACGAAAATTAATTTTGAAACGAGTACTTATCGAATACATTCACTTAGCGTTTTCGACACGTTTCTTTTTCACTTGTTTAAAGCTTTGATTTTTGGTATAGTCGAAGGTGAGTGGTTTTGTCTCGTCTGTGTAGCGGTGGATTTGCGTTTCATACTGTTGTCGTAAACGCAGGTACGCTGGGCCGACATAGAAGAGAGAAGGCAGCAAGAGAAGATGCGAGCCATCGGCTTCGTCGTAGGACAAACGGATTGGAATCGAATGACCGACCCCACTATGGGCTCCAGTGCCCTAACACAGACTAAATACATAGAAAGGGTCAGGAGAACCTAGCATGTGTTAAGCAACGATTAGACGGCAGAATTAGGGGCTGTACTCTTGAAATCGGTAATCGATGTATCGTGAACATTGTCTGGTAGTGGTGTCGATTCTGGCACGATTCTCTAAACCTAAACTTTGACAACAGTGTATCCTTGTCATTCTCTATTCATAATGAAAAGGAGAGATTGTTGTTAAATTTAGCTTTAAGTTTAGTGAATCATGCCAGCATCCACACCAGTGTCTACTCTACGGCATTAAAAACTATGTTAGTTATGCCTTTCCCACACCAGCGTTTTGTCTTACTGATTGCAATAATGCCGGCACTTGACTTGGCTATTCGTATTTGTCATTTTGATAGCAGGTTGTCTTTATCATTTTTATGGGAGCGAAAAGGAGAGGTTGTTGTCAAGTCTGCAAATAACAAATACGAAATATACGAATAGCCAAGTTAAGTGCGGCATAAAATTAGCATCCAAATCTTCGCTAAAGGAGTGGTTGTACGCTCACCACGACTAACATCCCTAAAACCTGTTTCATGTGTGTCGAAAAACGGACAGTCAAACAATCGTCGAGCGTCTATCGCCGCGCAGCTCGATAGTTCGTTGCGATAGCCGCTAATGACTTCCCGTACCAGGTTTTATCGCGATAATAGATAAAGCTTCTTGGCAATAGACACACGTGTGGGAGAGGCATTAGAGTAGGTAAGCTGACAATGACAATTACGATATATCGGGAGTCAACTATAAGAGTAAATAAATTATATTGATGTTTAATCTTCGGTCGATTACATAACAAAGACAAGTTTCTGACACTTAACATAAATCTCAACGCAAACATTTGTATGTAATTAAAATTTGCTTATGGTAAGGTTTCAAACTAAAGAAGCGCAGTGTCGTGGGTCATCTCACCACTATCTTTTTTAATACTTGAAAGAGGGAATAGGTAAAATTTACCAAGTTTAAATAGTATTTATCTGTAGCAGAATTGAATCCAACTATATAGATAACAGATGGTTATTTCATTATAATGTTGATAAAATTTTTATATACATTTTGTGTCATTCTCAAAAAAATTACATAGGATCTTCACGAAAGAAAAGATATTTTATGATAAAGGCGCATTAGGATTATATAACACTAGAGGTCGCCCGCGACTTCGTCTGCGTTAACTTAGTTTCTTGAAAATACCTCTGGAACCTAAAATTTTTTTCTGGATAAAAGTAGCCTATGTGTTAATCTAGGGTGTCAGTTAACTTCATACCAAATTTTATTAAAATCGCTCCAGCCGTTTAGACGTGAAGAAGTAACAAACATACACACTCACATACTCACAAACTTTCGCCTTTATAATATTAGTGTGATTAGTGTGATAATAGTTTCTGATAAAATTACAGTATCCCAGTAGAATGTCAACTTTATGTGCTGCGTATAAGGTCCTTTTTCCAAAGGCAGAGTAAATAGACTGAATACATCATTGATATTGCAATCTAAATGCTATTTTTTCAGTAGTAGGTTAAAATGAAAAATTGTTTATTTTCAAGAATCCGTATGTATACATGTAAAATTAATTACTTAATTGTTAGTTTACTGCGAAATATTCAAGCATTTTTAAAGTTTTGCGGCACAACTCTTTTTAATGAAACTGCTAGTTTGCAAAACACTGAAATCTCTCAGCTATTGAATATAGAAAAAGTTTTTAACTGAAATTTTGATTCAGAATGTTTGAGTATTGCACCAAAAGAAAATTGTTTCTAATTTTAGTCGCGTTTGTGATTCTCAATCGGTAGTCATGATTGCATGCCCGATCATTTTGTATATAAGCCATATTTCTTTTCGGCACATTTTTATCGTTCTTCTATTTATTCCTATCTTTTATTGTTATTTTGACGCATAATATATTATTCCTAAAAAAATGGATTATTTTTTCTAGACAGCTAATTTTATCCCATAAAGTTTTTTGAAAGGGTGTAAATAAATTAAAAGCGTATTGATTGCCGTATACTGAATGGGTTTTTCGGATGGCCGTTGTAATATAAGAAGTCAAAACTGATGTCTATCTAGGGGTACCTAGCCACAAACATTTTGAACACAATCATAGATAATTAAACTTACGTAGAAGCAATTATTTATTAAAAATGACTTAGTTGTCTATGTTTGTTCGTATTGAACATGTTTGCATCTAATGAGGGCTACCGTTTTCTGCCTCACCAGATTGCGCCACTGTTGAGTGAGGTCCTAAATTGTAACTCTTAAAGTTTATTAATACGCACATGAAATCAAAGGTTACACTTAGATCGTATTTTAACACAAAAGAACCATATCCTAAACATAATAGGCCATGCCACAATGACGCCCTGTTCCGTTTTATTCGGAAAAAATGGGAACATAATCATTTTTCTAAATTCAAATTTTTAATAACTGACATTCATTGCTCATTTCACATAACTCATATTTGCCATAATTAAGCCGAATTGTTACCAATTATTCACAACATTATTTTAATAAGAAATAAACCCGCGTAGACAACCAACAAGCAATAACATTTGACATTTCGGAGACCTCACGCTACACTAGCGCTTCTAGCGGATTCATACGCGATAGCCCTCATTATTACAGAATACCAACCAGAAAAGTTACTCTTTAGACACAAGTTAAACAGGCACACGTATATAGACGGCGATCATGGCTGTACTCGGGATAACATCATTAGATTTTGTAGCAGAGATCTCCGGAAGTTTCCTCTTGGTTGGGCCTTGAGTCTTCTGGTTAGTATTCTGTAGTTTTACGGTATTATATTTGTTGGTAAAATTAATATTTGTGAATAAAATTGATTGGTTAGCAAATATGATTTTAATGTAGCAAACGATTTGACATGGTGATCCATGTGTCCTTTTTAAAATAGGTACAGTTTCTCTATATTACGGCGTGTATGCATGTCACAACGAGTCTGTTGTAATTGTCGATGTTTCATCAATAACACACGGTGAAATAATTTCACTAAAGTGATAATTTATATGTAAGAATTATAGCGGTATGTTGATATTAATAAATATTGTAATAAACCGAGTGTCCGTTGTTTAATTATGCTACTGAGTCCTGAATTAATTGAAATCTTCATCCATTGCGTTAACGAAGCCCGTTTGAGTGTATCTTCTATCGCCGTAATCATTGGCGAACGCATAATTTGGTGCGCCACTTTTCGGCGGTTTCGCGGTGTATATTTTCATTAAATGTTTATTTTCGTCATCATTATTTTCTACATCATAGTTTTCTTTGGTTGCGTCGATGTTTTTATCTTCTTCGGTGATACCTGCTTTGTCGATTTTGGCGGTTTTAATTGCTTCCTCGCCTTCCCGCCCCGCGGTCATGATCGTTATTTGGGGCGTGCTCATGGCCACCATGTGGTCTTTGATGCACTGCTGCAGGATGTGCAGGAAAAATAAGAATGCCAACAGAGTGAGCGCTGACATTGCTGCGTTGTTTTTGCCGCCGCCGCCACCTCCATAAGTGCTTTAAAAAAAACGAGGTTATTTATTATGACCGTGCTTAATAAAATCTAAGCTAATGCGAGTAAAAATTAATCTTATCTTTAGAAATCATTTTTTTTATATAAACGAAATAAAAAAAGAACATCTTCATTTTCAATTTATTTGACATGTATTTATGATAATACAAATGAAAACAATGACAAAAGTATCTACATTATAAACATTTCCCTATCATAATTTAATATTTCAAAACTTTTTTGAAAAATAACCTCTCAAATCTTAAACACTATTAAACCATGAATTTTGATTTATAAAATTAATTATGTGTTTTTTTAATTAAACGTTGAGAGATATTAAAAAACTATACGACTACTCATTCTTTTTTTAATTTTCTCTTATTTTACGAATTTAACAACTACCTTCTTATTTATTTTAAAGGAAGTAGGTAGTTGTTTCTTTAATTATTTTTCCTTTTATTTTAACAATAATCGTATTGTTATGTATCATTTTACAAAATTTATGTAAACGTTACCGATACAATGGTTAAAATCAGTAGGAGAAGTCTGTTCATGTCTCCATAATAATAAACAAAGAATACGCTTGCCTTCCTAGCATAGTCACTGTAATGGTGATGATGGATGGTGGCATAAATTTTCCTAAACACTCATAAATCCAAGATCAAGTTTATTCTTTGTTTATTAATAGAGGGAGTCATGGGTTATTAGATCAATCCTTTGTACATGGTAGGAAAGAAAAAATTCAACCTGACTAAAATACTTACAGTTTTGGATTAGCTTCGACCGTTGGCACCCCGTGCTCAGAGTATGGGTACAATAACTGGGGATCTTGGATCGGGGCCTCATATTCAACGTATCTAATTGAATGAATAAACTATTACATTTTTTTAAAACTTAACTTTATTAATTTTTATTGTTGTTTTGATTCAAGGATAATAGAATTTTAGTCTATCAGACATGCCTATCATTATATCCGAACCACTCAAGAAACGTCCATTCAGAAAGTTGTCACTTTAAATTAGATTATCATACTTATTTAAAATGCATTATGAAAAAATTACATAAATATAGTGCTGTACCCTCACATACTGTTTTATTTTTACTAAAACATGTTGAGGTTAAAACATTGTTAACGGTTTATAAATTGCGTATATTTAAATTAAAATGACAACTTCTTTCTTCTTCTCAAGGGAAGGTAGTGGGATTTTATTACTTATCGCAGTATTTTTTATAATCCACTCTAATAATTTAAACCATTGAGTTTATTTTCGGAGACCGTCAAAGGAGACATCTATGCATCATCATCATTTGGACCACGAGTAATAAAGGTAAATATACCAGGGCCCTATTTCCCCAAGTCGACATATGTCAATGTCATATTTTTGTTAAAATTGTCCTTATCTTACTACAACGACAATTTTATTATGTTGTGAAACAGTAATTTTTTTAAGTCGACATTATTGTCAAATTATCCGGAATTCTTGACATGATATCGGGGCTATGTAAGATTTGCATTAAAATTGTAGTGTTTTCGTTGTTAGTCACAAAATGGTTCTCCGCGAAACTTTAAAAGATGAATAAATAAAACAATTTTTAGATAGATACACTGAATTTATTTATCTGACGTTTTGCAGCCTTTGCAAGACTGCGTCTTCAGAAATAAAAAGTTGAAAATACGAGTTATTATGCAAAAGAATTCATAAAAAACTAATAAATTGCGCCTTTGATATTTGATTTCGCGTTTAAGGATTTTTTTTTAATAGATCACTTTACTACAAACCGTCGGCTTGCATATCTCATCGACATATGTCGACTTGGTGTAATAGGGCACTATCCCGATCGACAAACTGATATAGTCGATCTACTTTATATTGAAAGTTAACGCTAAGAATATCACTCAAATGTCGCTAACACTGACCTGTCAGTAAAGTGCTTCATTCCCGACCCCATTTTGGACAGCATGCTCTCGAAAGCCATGTCGTATGTCTCGCGTGTTGTCAGCTCAATGTCAAGGTATGACTGAGCCCAGAGCTCCTACCATCCAGCGGTTATTACGCTCCAGTTGTCAGCATGTGACATTACTCTAGAATAGCGGCATTTTCACGTTTGCTCATCTCGACGATTCTATCGAATTAGTGCTCTTTAGCGCGGAAAGATCCAAGAAAACGACGCATTTTCATAAAAAAAACATGTTAGTTGTCACCCGTTTTGTCGGTCTATACTATACCTACACCCACTGTCAAGGATGAAGGACAAAATAAAAATGCAACGCTTAATTTTATATTTTTATTTTCTCAACAATCACAAACATACAAGGACGTCCTCATTCATACGATCACACAAAATATACAATACTAACTATTAAGTGATATAAACATTAGGCATTTATATCACACAGGTTTATTTTACATCAGTCGTTAATTATCGAGAAACTGGCGGAATATTTTCAATTGTTTAAACACAAAATACAAATAACGTGCCATTAACTGAAATTTAACTGCATAAGGAGTTCACTGGACGGAACGGTTGTTCATCCTATTTGGGTATATTTTATCTTTGTTTGTCTACTCGTTAACTTCTAGAATAAGTTAAATAAATAAATAATTTAAATAAATTAGTAAAATACTAAGCGACTCGCTCTCCACCGCAGGGATAAGTTTCGAGCGAACGATCCGAACTAAGGCACCAATACTTTCTGTAACCACGCGTACTCGATGTCATCGCGAGGCGACAAAGTTGTGTTCTACATAGATGTTGATAATTTCGAAATGACTAAATCTGCAGCTTGCCTTCAACTTCTAACATCGTCAATCACCAGATATCAATTGGAATTTGGAGTGTCCAATTCGCGTTTTTTTTAAACTCGTATCATCAAATGTCACATCAATTTTTCGTTGTCATCATATTAAGATATTAGTTGGCGATGTGGATGAACGGATGGATGGTTGTTTAGACTTCGTTGCACTGGAGGTACATCTGGCGGCAGTCTACGCCGGAGCGGCCGCGGCGGCCCGCCTCCGTGAACTGCTCGAATGTGCCGCCTGACTGCCGCTCTAGAACGAAGCTTGCCGCGTAACTGAAACCAAGCAACACAAAGTTGAAGAGGAAAGCGACTGAGGCTGCAAACTCCTAGATCCAAACTTGTCAATCCTTGGACAATTAAAAATAAATTCTATTAAATCTTTAACTAGAAGAAGAAAGAACAAGCTAAGAGTTAAGTGCTGGCAATTTACGTTGGGAAGACGATAACGAATACTCACGTTCCGAGTTGGCAGAATACGCTCTTGGGTCCGATGTCAGACGAGCATTCCGTGTTGGCATCGCAGATGTACTTCTGTAGGCACTTGTCGTCGTTAGTGCCGAACGATCTGACGTAAGTCTTGAACATGGCGATGCCGGCCAGCGCGGCGTCGCTCACCGAGTCCTTGCGGCCCATGGACCGCGCCGTCAGCGAGCGGTGGGAGAAAGAGGTCTTCAAAGCGTCGAGAAGATTCATCACGATGTTTATGAACTGCACACAGAAATCAATCCAGTCAATCCCAGTAGGAAACCGTCGCAATGACTTACTAAATATGAGAAGTATTTTCAATCAATGGAGAATTGTCTTATTTTACTTTTAAAGTTAAAATGCAATTATGATCAGCTCATGAAAAGGAGAAGGAAGGGTGGGTTTCGTACCTCTCCAGCCTGCTTTGCCATGGAGGCGACCTGGTCGGGGTCTTTTGCACCCAGCATCGTCGACAGTACCGCAGCCAATATACCCTGAAGCAAGCGAGAAGCGACACCGTCTCCGTAACCAAACTTTACTATTTACACTCCAACAAGGGAGTACCTCAAGGAAACGAATATATCCGCAATTTCGATAGTGGTATAAGTATTTATATTATTCTTCCCGTTAGGTAGTCCCCCGTCGAAAGCTTTAGATATATTATTGTGAATTAAGGTTTTTCTATGCTACCGATATACTGGATACAACAATGCCTACAGGTGAGGGTAAACTTGCAAGGTGCTTTACACTATCGCAGTGACTGAAAACTTTTAATTAATACTTATAAATATCTACATTATGGATGTTAGTAGATCAGTATGGATAGTTATGAATTATTGCAAGAGTATAGTTATCTATTTGTACAATTTCATCAAGAAGAATTTCTATAATCAACTCATGAAAATAGACATGTTTTGAAACATGCTTTTAAGAATTTTACACTTGAGGAAATACCTGCATAGGTGAAGAGCCGTTGTCTACTTTGTCGATGCCATCGCTGGACCCGCCTCCACCGAGGACGGCGGTAAGAATCTTGAGTCCCATGGCTAATAAGTTGGCCCACGGGGATGGTGCAACGGAATCGGTGTCAATGTTGTCGCTCTTGTTGGGTCCAGTTTGACCGCCGGGGTTGAAAAGCATTTGCATTATCATTCCTGAAATAGGGAACATAAAGAGATTAAAATAAGATATGATCAAGCGATAAGATTTTAAATAAAAAAAATATTTGATGAATCGATATTAACGTTACCTAACATGTTGGACCAAGAAAACCCGCTATCTCCGATAGAGTTGGTCTGTATGTCGTCGAGATCGTCTAAAGCAACCTTCTTGAGTGCGTTCGGTTTCTCCGCGAATTTGCGTTCCTGAGCAATTTGTTCATGCTGCGCAACTGGGTACACATTGCTGTAGTACTGTGGATTTTGTGTTCGTACGTGGCTGGTTGCCTGAAACATTTTCACGATTAAATTAAAGCTTTTCTTTATAGCGTGATATCATCATTTAAGTTCTTAACACTTCTTCTGAACCAATTTTTGATAACAATATGTTTGTTCTATACGTTCAAAAGCAGAGTAATGAAAACAGGACGGTTATAGCAATTTTTGTACTTTTGGAGTTGAAAGTTCGAATAATTAATTAATATGAATTCCATCGTATTCTAAATTACATTTTACAGCTATTACTAAAAATTAAACATGAAAACATTTTGTGTTGGAATTGACTTTATTTTCATTGTTTTGACGAGTGCATACCCGACACCAAATATTATCTAATTTTTACATTGAAGAATATGCCAAAGAATACGTCTACGAACTACCGTGTGTGTTTGCCGTGTAGGTAAGTTATTGGAGTTTACTCCTTAAGAATCGATTTGCATATATAAGCGGCCCGGTATGAGAAAAATGTGAGGAGTAAAATCTATCGATGAATCGTTACGTTTTTGGTGCGCATCCTATGTCGCGCAACTTTGACAAACAAAGATGACGGATTGACATTAATAACCATAAACCACTTGTCACTGTAATTAATAATGCAGACAATGTTGATTTAATTAATATTTAAAAAAATGATAATAGTCTGATAATAATAATTACATAATTTATCAACATTCCTAATGATATATTTATACACATCTGAAATTGAATATTGTAAAAAGTTTAATGTAAAATATTTCGTCGATTAGTTATAATAAATGTATATAAAATGAATAAATATATATTTATATATGTATATCATTTTCATTAATTTGTTAATTTACCCTTTCATACAGTATCAATCTTTTTTAAGTTAAATAAACTCTTTTTGCGTCTGGTTAGACTATCGAACTTAAGGAGTAAACTCCAGTCGTGCGTCGGAGCTGACACACACAAATTTTTTAAGTTGAGGGAGAAGACACGTGAGGTAAGAACGGTACCTGTGATATTAAGGGAACGTGTTGCGGGTACGCTATCGTGTGGAGGATTGTCGTTGAGCTGATCAGGGCTAACAGCGCCCAGCCTGCCATCTTCTGATGCATTCTGTAACCAAAAAACAGGAAAAGTAAGTAAACGCTTTATTAGAAACACAACGACATAAAGCTAGGTTACTATAACTGCCTAGGTATCGTTTTACTAAAACGATTTTTTTGTCTTATCCTACACTTCATTAGAAAGTGCTTTGATGAGCATTTCACATTGCGCTTTTAGACTTGTTATGAAAGTTGCCTACGTCAGTCGTGTCGGTGCTTTTCTTGAGACTTGATGACTAATTGAAAGGACGCCGGTCATCTAATTTTCTAAACTATATAATTGAGCTGTTTTTACTAGAGCAACACGTTCTCAAACTGCATTTGCGTTTGAAGTTAGTATTTATCTACCGTGTGATAAGTGCGTAAGGCTGTCCGGTGTAAGTATGTTAGCAGTTACTGCAAGGCAACTCTTAAATGCAGGTGACCCGGTCTTCCTAACTGTATTTTAGATGTCACACCTGTTTAGCAAGATTACTAGTTATATGAATTAACGTTAATTTTGACCATTATTTACAAAGCGACCGCGGCGACTTTCACTGACCTAATTGAATGGTGGAAGATTTGACACCTGCGTGTCACACGATTCTTAAATTCGATTATTGTTATGTCACGTTTTCGTCGGAAGTTTAACTAAGCGGTATAACATAGAATAAAATAGGCGTGAAGTGTTTGCTTGGTCGTTAGCTGCGTGTTTACAGCGTTGCGCTGGCGCAGCCGTTGGGAGTGAGCCCCGACTGCGAGATTCTTTCCGGAGAAATTTGTCGCCGTCGCAAGACACGAGAACCGTCATATATTCTCGAGTCGTATTTTATTAACGTTTTCTTGTACAACTTATATAACTGTATATCAAACTGTTTTTTATTACCTACTTATTGTTATTATATTTTTCAATCTCAAAGCTGCAATGCCGGAAACAATAATTTCTATGCATTCTTACTCGTGCGGAAAGTAGGAAGCATCGTTAATTCGGTATTCATTGTGAAACATAGGTATCACTTATGTGGAATTATCTTTGATAAAACCGCGATAAACATTATAACGACATGGTTCGCTTTCGATGCCCTACAAGGGCGGTGGCTGTCAATGATTATGGTCGGGGTGCGGTGATCGACCCCGTGACCCAGTGGCAATGCGCCGGCGCATGCGATTGAACTTGGCGGTGCAACGAGAAACTAACCTCACTTTCGATTGAAGCGGATCTTCAAGTTACCGACCTATAAACAAGCGTACAGTGTGAGAATATTATTAACAATTTCTCATGAGCTTGGTTCCGCTTCTTAAAGTGTAATTTTCGTGTTGTGCTTAGCTGCATACTGTAGTATTTTGTTATCCAGATTATTATTACAAATATTTGTGCTATTTTGGGTATTGTTATTAAATACCTATGAATGTAATGTAATCCATTTATTTCTTTTCAGTAATAATGTAAGCGTTACTTTATATCAAAGCTCAATGTTTGATTCGGATAGCACATTGCGTCCTAAAATTTTGTATACATCTGCCCCTGACGCGTCGTAATAAAACTTATAATAATATATTGTCGCCAGCAGTGTTTCCGCACCAATACGACCCAAAAACCTTCAAAAAAAAGAGCTTAATCCTTCCTTAAAGGCCGGCATCGCATTTGTGATACTCCTGGTGTAGCAAATGTCCATGGGCGACGGTGATCACTTACCATCAGGTGAGCCGTCTGCTCGTATGTCCCGTCCCCTTTAACATAAAAAACAAAAAAAAAAATAACTTGGATGCACCACACATTATATGTAGTGTGAGCATAATTATATTGTCTAGTAACGCAGAACGTGTGTGATGCGAGGCGCGGTTAATATGGCGTCGTGTCGGTGAAAGCAGGCGGCTGGTCCGTCGCGTTGCGTCGCGTGTGCGAGCCGCATCGCCTTGGAAGGTTACGTTTTTCTAATTTCGGAGTGAGGACCTGCTTGCCTATTACCTACGCAGTCGCCTTGATCAACTGGCTCACCACTTTCATCGGAAATTCACCGTGGAAAAATGAGAATAGCAGATTTCTCTGAGCGACGACAATTTTGCTTCGCTCTCCTGTGTCTTGTTGATATAGGTACTTGAGGGTGGATGGAGAAATTGAAAGCGTAACGAGAGTGTTATTTTTCATCTCTCTTGGGGTTTAGTAAGATTGTCGAATTCTCAATCGGAGGGTAACAGTCATTCTATCAAACTTCCTATATCTAGGATTATCTTCTACAATTTCCTTGAATATGACGTTTTGCTTCTGTTATTTGTTAGAAATAAACTTAAATTGACAATGGAAAACACTCAACTCTCCACTAAAACACGTCCCTAAACTTAGTCATAACTCAAAATAAACAATAAACCAATAGCAACAGTCGTATCGTTTTATCAAATTTTTGTTCTGCTTTTTCGGAACGTCAATGAAATCCACACAAGAATAAGTGGCGGCAACTTGGTCAATTTAAATAAACTGAATTGCATGGAGTTTTCTCATTTCGTGTTCCGCATTTTTTGGGTAGTTTTTTCGCTCGGTGACCGGTCCACCGCGCCGCGCGGGCGCCTCAGTCCGCTTTCTAAACCGTCCGCCGATGTGCGTGATTCGCACAATACACGGATATGGACGCCGATGGAACAACTATATCGATTGTTATTATTAATATTGGAATTGCATTTTGGAAGACAGTATTCTATTTGAGTATCTACATTGTTTAGAGACAAGATTCGCCTTGGAAATCACCATTAAATGCATTATATTTTAGTCACCAATAGACCTGTATGCAGCTATTTGAATGAACATTCTTTTATAGAATTGATATAACACATACCAATGAATTTAGATAACAATAAACAATCAAGGAAAAGATTGAACTCGAGGACGAACAGTTAAAATAGTTTAATAGATCAGCAGGATTAAATGGAGACACTGGTGTCGATTCTGGCATGATTCTTTAATCTTAAAACAAAATTTAACATCAGTCTCTCCTTTTCATCCTGTATAGATAATGACAAAGATACACTGTTGTCGATTTTTAGTTTAGGTTTGGAGCATCATGTCAGAATCGACACCATTACCATTAATCTCAATGATAATAATAAATATATTTCGAAGAGCATGCAGAATCTGGACCAGTCGCCATAAACATATAGGCATTAGGATTGTTTGATTCGTTTAACGCTTGGTAACAATAATTGCTACTTAAAGATTAATCAAGTTCGGAAGATGAATTGCATTTAGATGACAAAAGTCACATTTCAATCTCCAGGGCTCACTTCAAAGTTCAGTTAATACAAATAATATTTGTTTTACATCAAACTTTTTAATATTCTGATATCAATCACAGCTCTGGAATGATGATAGCGTCGTAAACTAATGAGTGAAAGTAACTTGAGAATTTTGGTCATTTATTTTTGAGAAGCGACGCGGTAAGTGGACGCAAACGCAAGACGTGCTTATAATAACACAATCTCTAAATAAGAAGGGAAGAGTGAATAAAAACAATCTACGACGTTGATAAAACAAAATTGTCTTAGTGATCTCTATCATGCCTGGGAATATTAAAATCTAAGTTAGATGTAGGTACCTACCTATTTTCTTTATCTAACGTAAACGGTACTTATTTTTTTTGCTGAAAACTATAGTGTTATAGTACTTTGTGTCTCATTAAAGAAAATTATGTACTTATGATAAACATAACAACTTATAATTTTATGATAGTATTTGCCGATCGTACTTGCAATGACTATTAATTTCTCCAATTCTAAATAACTAGCAAACCAGTGAACCAAATGTTCACCAAAACCTGATTTCTCGAAAACCGGAAGTGCTACGTTACTCAAATCCGGTTTGTAGTCTTATCAGACTATTCTTAACTTATAACTTAAATATTCTCTTTATCTATCTCTTACGGTTTGGCCGCTGAATCAGCACCACAGACGGACGGACTTGTCTAATAGATAAGAGATAAGTATAAGATGCGAAAGAATGCAATAAGATTTAAATATCACTTATCAAGGTAGAAGAAAGCGGAAGCATCATCATCAAGCTAGATCCGAATGTATTTGAATGTCATGTTCATATTAGAGACGTTTCATTTACTGCTTTTCAAAGTGACTTGCTGTCATAATTTCCATCGCAGCAGCATCGACATGAATTAGACTCCAAATATTAATTAAAGTTGCTTAAAGCGGCCGGTACTGATGTGAGTATGTGTAACACATTAATTTTTTTTTAAGATTATAGATCGTTACACGTAGTTGAGTGGATCACTAACCATGGTCCGGTATTAGGCGTAGGAGAAGCGTGCGCGCACCGTTACGCCGCAGATGTAGACCGGCCATACGGTAAATACGGGTACACCTCTTGTACAGTCTGCTATAAAATTACTGAGCGCATCGGGAATGTTGTTTTTCTTAAATAACTAACTCCGACTTTGGTGTGGTGTAACTACTAAGAAGTTATAATTTTTATTTTTTAAGCATGTAACTGCTTGATGTTTAAATCTAAAGAAAATATAACTAGAAAAAAATCCACGCGGACCAGGCAGCAGACGGGACTCGTACCCGCACCCTTCGCTATCCGGGCGAATGCACTGACCAATTATGATACCGCGGCCTTGAAGGCCGCGTCGAAATTCTTCTAGCCATTCTTAAGCTGCAAGGCAGCTAGTAAGATGTTTATCGGCAGTAATTTTTGTTGTTTTTTGTCCCAAGCTTTCCGATAAGAAAACAGGTCTACAATTCCAAAATAAAAATAGTAGTTACATTGTTACTTTCATATAGACATTGTGCTTTCAGAACATACCAAAAAAAAAACTGAGTCAATACCAAGCAACCAAACGAAATCACTAGAGTCTGGTGGAGTCCACAGTAGCGACCGCCATTTTGCAAAAAGAAGAAGAGTTTGACGGCGGGAAAAGAAGCAAAAAAGTATTTTTTGCGGGTGATTTTTTTAAAGAATACTTGTCATTTTTTTATTTTTGTTGCTTTTGTTTTTTGATAATATGTAAGACGCGAACATAGGTTTTTTCAAGGAATGTGTGACTCCCAATTTTAACGTTCGGTTTTTTGACATACTTTTCTTGGGCATACTAAAAATAAGGTTTGATTTTAATCGTATAATAAAATTGATCGATGGAAGCTAAATAAAGATAAAATGTTTAATCATTATCACCCTCACAAAAAACTGTGTACTTTCATATGATTATTTACAAAAGTCTGGGTAAAGAGGACCAAGCATGAACTTTGACAGCTGACCGTAATCGTATCGAATCGTCAAAGTTCCTTTAGTACGAACCAATATCGAATTTTAATAGTTAGCGAGTGGGGAATGTCATTGTCAAATTTTGTATGGAAACTTGAACAGCAGCGCCATAACGGACGTAACGAGAACTAAAAATCAAGTACACGTTTGACAATAACATTTCGAATTCGATATTGGTTCGTGCTAAGGGTACCTATGAAAACTAAGAAGTGACCGGACGTTAGAACAAACTGGCTAATTTCATATAAAACTTGACGATGACGATGCGATTATGGTGCTGACAAAGTTTGCGTTTTTGTGCCTTTGAAGCTGATAGTGATGCCGTATTTTAATTTTTTATTTAACTAAAAACTATTAAAGCGACATCTCTATCAACTCCAAAGGCACAAAGCACGAACTTTGTCAGCTCCATAATCGCATCGTCATCGTCTTAATCTAACCTAACCTAACCTAACCTAACATGACATTATAAACACTGACGTTTTCAGCAGTAATTGTTTACAATATATTGAATGAACTGAGTGCGAGCGTTGGTATCGGTACAGCATCCGTGAAATCCGTTGCGCGTGGAATTGCCTGCGGTAAATTGGTCATGTTCACGTGTTGCGGTGACTAAACTACTTATACGTGCTTATGTCGCACCAGACTATATTGGCTACCCATAATAATCTTTCACTCATTCGTCTCGTCTCGACCTCTCGACTTCTTGAGTTGTCGAGAAAGCTCATGACGACAAACAAGCTGCAAGTAAAATGTTGAGAATGTTTTTGTATTTTCTTTCATACAAACCTCATTTTCTTGTCATTCTCCGCTTTAATCTGTTACATTTGTACAACACTTGGTAAGTATTATATTTGATCAGAGATTTAAACGGATCGGATCGTTTGAATAAAAGAATAACGCGATTGATGGCTCAATAAAAAACTAAAAGAAGGTAACCTAACAATTGTGCCTGTGATCCATGTTTAACTGAAACCTGAAATGGTGTTTGTTTATTTTTACGAAGACAAACAATTGAATCGATTAGTCGACATAATTTTTAGTAACCTGCTGTGTGGGTTACGCACGCCGCATCTAAGATTGATGTGTTCCATAATGGTGCACCGGCCAGTCGGTATATAATTTTCTTTTTAAAATCTGTTACCCAACCGCTCTGCGCAGCCGAGATTCCTTTCGTCGGTCAACTTTCACTTTGGTTTTTTGGCCACGTGAGCCGGTGTTGCGAGATGATGACATTAATCGAGTTTCGACGATTCACGTGATTTGTGTTTCCGTTTAGGGTGCATTCACTGTTAATATGGTCATTTGGAACGTAGGCGATTTGGTGTTGCCAGCATGTTTAATTTACCTGTCGAGGATTACGTTTCTAATCTCGTTTTACTAATTTGGGAACCATTTTTATGGCCGCGTCGTTTTCTTTTTATTAATGTGGACCAATGAAGGGTATTTTTATCGTTGATTATTAACTCTGAGCATTTATCGAATTTGGATCCCTATTGATTGCGTGATATAATGAGTGAGTATACTTTAGCGATGGTTTAGTTTTATTTGAAATTTTGCAATTTAAATTTTATTTCTCATTTCAAAATCTCACATAGGATGTGTTTTCCTATCAGAGACAAGTCCGAGTACATACGAGAAACTGCGAGATCATTGCAGTTGGCACGCAAGCAAGACTGTTGCCCATTTTAAACGCGCCAGCTTTCCTCGGCACTTTCGACTCGCGTTCTGACCAGACTTTTAATTACTGAACCTGTCCAACGTCATAATATGTTATAAATGCACAGTACTTGCGGCTATGTACCTACTTACTACTTACATTCTTATGGAAATGAAAGAAAGTGTGCCTCGGAGGAATGTAAAATTGTAAACAAATAAAAGTTTTTTTTTCAGATCGTGTAATAACGTTTGCATAATTTAAGTTAATCTTTGCCGAGTTCCAAATTTAGGAATATTCCTTTTTTATTGTAATTGAAACACTGACTAATGCCAAATCTATGCGATAATATAATTATCTTTTCATTTTAGATTAAAAAAAGTTTGCATTTTTTTAAGATCGTCAAGGTAGTTATGATTCTTCATTTTCATACAATCTCTAGTAATTGAGTTCTTCACAAAGAAATCAACCTCATGTTTGCTTTAATAGAAAATGATACTGTCAATTTCTCGAGTTCACACGATAAATCCGATACAAGATCGATACGCTGATATATAAAACCATCGATTTCTAAAAGTCATGTAAGTTATCTCGGTACGATGTTAAGGTGTGTGACTGATATCAAGACCACCGACCCTAGTCGTCGTCGGCCGGTCGTCTGGACATGAACATTAGAATGAGAGTTGCTTGGACTACCGACTGGATGTTGAAGCGAAAGTAGAAAAATTATAATGATGTATGCAAAAACATATTAAATTAAAAGCAATGTAATCAAATTGAGAACTAAATATTACTTCGATTAAAAAAGTTAAATAAAAGCTCTAACTAATAAGAATAATAAATAACTAAGTAAAAGTAGCTATAACTTAATAATTAGGGTTGATGATAATTAAAAACGTAAATTAATTTTGTGATCTAATTTATTATATCGGATCAATTGCGTTGCAATCATAATGCTGCTATTTCTGAGTGGCCCTGTTTCGTAGATTAAGTACGTAGTAAATACGTTAAAATACATTTGATTAAATTTCTCTTTCTTAAAACAGACGGATAACTAAGATATTTCTAATAAATATAGTTAGGAGAGTATCGTATTACCTTAATAAATAACTGAATAAAAAGTTTTAAGAAGGGACAATTAATCTTGTAAACATAAGCCTTTGATAAAAAAGTGAGATAACGATCTCTACATTTTGGAGCCGACAGCGTTCCCAGTCGATTACGTTGACAATTGTTAATTTCTATGAGAGAGTCTTAGTTTTAAAAACAATGAGTCTTGGCGCCTTTAAGTGCATCATGCTCTTGACACTGATGCCGTGAGAAACGAACCATCCCTTGAACGCTTTCGTGAAGAAAAACATCTCCAAGATTCCTCCGATCGAATCGTTATTCGTCTCAGTCTATTTGTTGAGCATTTATAAATAAGTTTACCGTTGCTAATCCGCAATTCATTACCTCCGCGAGTAACAAGATACTGCGTGGAGTATTTTTTACGCGAACACTGGCAACACCTGACATTATACAATATTTCATTTGTTTTCGAAGCGTAGCGAATCCGGGCTCCGAGCCGAAAAGTTACATGTCAATATGAGTACCTACATTTTCACATTTTAGAAAGTAAAGCTTCATATTTACATGACTAAAGCACTTGAAGAGCAAAACGCAAAAGTTCTTAAGGCTGTGTAATCTATGACTAATACCTTTGTATGTAGTATTTCGTTACGTATTTTCGGCTTTCTTGCGTTTGCGACCTTTCGCGGTTTTATGTAATATTGTCAATGACCTTTTCAATATCGTGAGAAGTTGATGTTAATGGGTGAACTTCATATATTCATAACAAATAGCTTTTACTCTAAAGTTAGAATCATTATATAGATTACAATTATGGGCTCATTGATAGATACAGTTTAATATTAACCACGTCTTTATTGATAATTTTTAAAAGCTTATTTGTACTTTTTCTATTTCCATGATTTCTACTTTCGTTCAAATTAGTCACGCATTTTTGTGAAAATAAAAAGTATGTTAGTACTTTTTATAGGGACACTTTCGTCGTTGCACAAATCATAATTTAGGTAACTAGGTAATTATTTCATTTTTTACTAAAGAAGCCCGAGTAGAATTTGACTTTCCTAGCGGAAGTTTAGTAATAACATACTTACATAAAATTATTACTACTAAACTACTATGTAAATATTTATCTTATAGCTAATAAAAGAATAAAATACAATTCTGAAATTAATTTAAAGTTACTTAATCTGAATTTAACAGACATTAGCTTGCATATTATGATAAAATAGTGATTTGGTGGTAAAAGTAAAGTGAAAGTATTCAAGTTAATGTATATAAACAATACATTAGTAAGTTAATTTAAATAGAAAGGTAAATATTTCTAGATTACACTGAATAATTTGCATACCTTATTAAGGCTTTTATTATATTTTTTTATAATCAATATTTTCTATATAAAATATATAGTTGAAACACAACTACTGAAATGTTCTTTGGACGTCGTAAAATGAAAATAAAATTTAACCTATTTTTTCTAAACACTATTTGACCACAGAATCACTATAGTAAAAATCACATAAAATATCAAGTTTCGACCACACTATCCACCACAGTCACTGGCACATCACTGTCCTTTGCACGTCACGTCACTTAATCAAAGAACTCACCTTTATGTCGGAGTATGGAACTGTCACTGAGTATCAACTCTTCACGTGATATCGTCACTGGGGAAAGTGCTTGTTGCCTGTCTGAGCGTTCGACTTGCAATGAGCCAGCCGCCTTGAACTTAACGCTTTATATATGGTGACCTAGTTAACGCATCTAACTGTGTTAGTTGTCCGTGCGTCCGTTTATCCCGTTGCCTCAAGGACGTCGGGATAACGACTCCTTGACCATTGTTTACTTATCAAACAAGCACGGCAGCCTGCTTCTTAAAAAAAGTTCAAAGCTGTAGGTAGTACCACGAACATTACACTGAGGGCCACTTGCCTCAACATTCTTAATTCAAAATAAGACTAAATCCCGTTTAAAAGAGTTGCTGGTTTACAAAATATCTTGAAATGGCGCAAATTTGTAAATAATTTATCTATTAGGGAATTGTTATCCCTTTAAACTACATAGATCCTAAAAGTAGATTTATTTGAATCAGTTTATGCCAATTAAAATTGTTAAGGTTTCATGATTGCACAACTGAAGAGAGGAGTATTTTTTTTAAAAAACTAATTTAAGTCAAGCGGTAGTAGAATGAGGGAAACCTCATTCTAATGCTAATTGAAAAAATAGCTTTTAGATTTAAGAACTTTTGTGTAAATGGGCCAGAATCTAAGATAAATTAAGATTTAGGATTTAGGAAAGTAATGAGTGAGGATAATGTTGATCCTAGTTGAGGAATAGCATGGGATGGCTTTTGAATTCTTTTTTTTATTGGGTCATCAGGCAAAAGAACTGGCAGTCCACCTGATGGTAAGTGGTCCCTGCCGGTCTTTCCGCTCATGGACACATGCAGCACCTAGGGTACCACTCATGCGTTGCCGGCTCTGAAGGAAAAGGTTTACTCGCCTCTTGTAGACTGCCTTAACATAGCTCGGAAATCAATATATCTTTATTCAAATTGGATGTATAGTACAACTCTTTTGAATGCTAAAAAGCAAAATCGCTAAGGGAAGTTCGTTCCAGATCTTGCTGGAACCCAACAAGAAGGAACGCGTGTACCGCATGGTGCAAGAACGCCCTACGTCCAGTGCCCTATTTCACCAACTCGACATATGTCTGACAGAACCAGCTGAATTCGACGAGTGATCCCGTTCCCTTCGATTCCGTCGGCCTAGACACGTCTTACAGTACCCCGACAACGAAATCATCCGCGCCAATGCGCCTCCGGCTCCTCCCAAACAGGTCATAAACACCAACACTACACAACTAGCGTACTAGCACACTAACTTAGCATTAGGCAGACACCGCACCCGTAGGATAAGATTGCAAAGACCCGATCTACACACGACACGCTATTACAGGTACGTACCTGGGCGTTATTCCCCGCCCCCCACGACAACTGCTAACTAGAGCCGAGGTCTGAGTCTCAGAGACGTCCTCTAGTTGAGCCGACCCCCTTTCGGTTCGAGTGGTCTAGAGGCTCCAGACGGAGAGGAAACTCTCCGTGGGGAGATGCCATCCGACTGAAATACCTCTAGAGGCACTTGGCAATTCTCGGCTTGAGGTCCCTTTAAGATCTCGCCGTCCCGAAACCCGGTGACGTTCTAAAGGTCATCTGCGACTAACAGCATACACACTCAAAAAAAAGGGAGATCCCGTATAGGTAATGAGGTCACCAATTTTCCGTTGGAGTGTTATAAATTTTAACTAGAGTGGGTATTAATATATGATTGCATTCAAAATGATTTTTGCCTAATCCGTGTTCGTATTTTCTTAGGAAGCAATACTAATATCTTCGAGCATTGTGTTGAGATCTTCCAAAGTCTCAGTCATATGAACTAATATATTGGCGAAACGAAGGCGTGTCAGGAGAGTACCATTAATGTAGACTCTTCGTTCTTTCCACTCTAGAAGATTAAAAAGTTCCTCCAGCCCAGCTGAGAACAGTTTCGCAGATGTTACATCTCCCTGTCTTAAGCCTCGTTGCAGTTGGATAGGATTAGACTAACATAGTGGCGTTTTCGTGAAGATTAAAGACCTGAACACTTCGACATAGCTGTAGTTCACTTAATCACCTTTAGAGAGACTGCAGAATAGCGAGGGTTTTAATGGAATCGAAGGATTTTTCTTAGTCTAAAGAACGCCAGGCAATATGGTAGATTATGTTTCTCAAATTTTTGTATAACCTGCTGATGTCTATTGTTACGGTCACAGTAGTAAATAATGTGGTCTATGGTACTAAAGAATTTTCTAAACCAAGCCGGTTTTTTCAGGAGTTGGAAGTCGTCAAAGTGGGTTAATCCACTAACCCTCATTGACTTGCCCCAATAATGGGGGATTATGAACTTTTCTCCCACTTATCACCATTCGATGCTCGTCAAATTGATAATGGGGATAAATCAAAGAAAAGTTGAAATTAAAAAACAGTTTCATCTGAGTGCGAGACGATTCGTTATGACTCTCGAAATCAAATTATAAACATGGCTCAGAGTTAGTGGTAGATATTTCCTCAACGAGTGTCTTGTCACCATTTTTGAAGAACAGTACCCCTAGCACGAACCAATAGCGAATTCGAATCGTTTGCGAGTCCGAAATGTCAATGTCAAATTTTGTATGGAAACTTGAACAGCAGCGCCACAAAGTACGTAACTAGAACTAAAAATTAGTACATATTTGACAATGACATTTCGTTCTCGATACGATTTCGATATTGGTTCGTGCTAAGGGTACAGGGCAACCTTACTTATGTTCCGTGCTTTCGGCGTTCTGCCTTCGAGGATGATGGAATGAAAACTTTAGAAGAACTGAGTATCGGATTACTCTAACCTTGCTTTCAACAAATTATAAGTGCACGTGCACACTAGGCGTTGCCGCCGGCGTCGCCTCCGACGAAAGTTTTAGACAAAAAAGTTACGGAATTTAGAAATAAACAAAAAGACTGAAATTTTTTCCTCAAGTCAATAATTTCGGAGATATAGCGATAAACGCGTTTTCCAATATGGCAGCCAGTTGTGACCACCCTCTTTTCCCGAATTTTTAAACTTAAGCTTCTTACGACCTAACCTAACACCGGTAAAAAAGCTAGAGTGCGGCAAAGTTTTGTTATTTGGCTTTACTCTATTGCTTGGGCTTTAAGACGCATAAACTCCGTAACACGCATTCACCCCTCCCCGCTTCCTCTCGGCGGTTGCAAGTCCGGTGCGGCATCGCAGCGCATCGAGTGACATACCACAGATATTTCTGTTTCGACGAGTCATCGACAACGTTCCGGCGTTGTGCCGCTGCCGCAACCGCAACGCATCATGTGCCTGTACACTATCTGCCTATAGAAACTATCGACCACCAACCAGGATTTCAGTTTTATACGGAGTATTTAAAAAATCTTATAAGCGGTCTGTGCTTCATCAAATGGTTCTTCAACACACAGGCACATCCAAACGCAGGCGAGTATTACACAACAAAAATCAACAAACAAAATGGTGCTTTTAAAAACGCTCCCGTCATGCCACGAGGTGTTCCTCGCTGCCTTTAGTCGTAAACAAATCGAGCTAGCGCGAGATCAGGGTCCCAAGCACGATTTTTTGACATCTCCGTAACGTAACGCATCGTCAAAGTTTCTTATAGCAGCAGCCCTACCGGACCTAAGAACAAACTATCATTTTCCTTACAAAATTAGACGATGACAATAAGTTAACGTTAAGTGTCGCCACAACTTCGATCGACCACAACCACAAAACGCCGCCACCGGCATATTTCTTGTGTAGTTATATGCCGGTGGCTGCCACATGCTACAAATCGTCGTTGCTCGCTTCTTGTGGCCCGCACCGGCCACTTTATGCGCCGCCGATACAAAACGTCGCCACACGTCACTCGCGCGATTTCCTACCCCTCTCACACGGGCCCACACGGGCCCACACGGGCCACACGCCACAGCCACAAACGCCGCCACGAGTGCCGCCGATACAAAACGTCGCCACACGTCACTCGCGCGATTTCCCACCCCTCTCACACGGGCGCACACGGGCCACACGCCACAGCCACAAACGCCGCCACGAGAAGCTAGAAGCGGCTACTTAAGTGGCTGAAGCGCGCGACAGCGGCCGACTAAGGTAAGGGAGAGAGGGGTGGGGAATAGCGCGAGTGACGTGTGGCGGCGTTTTGTATCGGCGCATTAAGTGGCCGGTGCGGGCCACAAGAAGCAAGCAACGACGATTTGTAGCGTGTGGCGGCCACCGGCGTACGGTGTGTGGCGAGTAAACTACAAGAAATATGCCGGTGGCGGCGTTTTGTGGTTGTGGTCGGTGGCCCATGTGCGGCGACACTTATCTTAGTCGGCCGCTGTCGCGCGCTTCAGCCACTTTAGTAGGCGCTTCTAGCTTCTCGTGGCGGCGTTTGTGGCTGTGGCGTGTGGCCCGTGTGCGGCGACACTTAGATGCGGTCTTCGATGGCATAATGAAGCTGTACTTACTGAGTCGATCCTTTGTGTAGCTGGACATTTATTTACTTTCGGATAATATTTTTGGTTTGTGTACATGACGCAAACAGTCAAAATTGTTAAAACTTCTTATAAAAGTGTACGAGATTTCTATTTGCCTCGTATCATTTGTAGAGACTGCCTAATCTCACACGTTAGAGTTCTCATGCATTTGGCAACCCTGCGCGGTGCGTCCGTGCCTGCGACAACACTGGCATCGAACAACACCTTTAGGAATCTGTCAAAAATTCGTTACATTTAAAAATTCGTCAAGGTTTTTGAAAATATTCAACGAAAACGCATAAAAACGCAACTGAAACATGATTCTGTAAACATGCCGTGTACAGTTGACGTGGCTGTTGTACACAAAACACACAGGGCTGCGTTCAAAAATTACAATTCAGGTGCAACAAATGTCAAATAACAAAAGTTTCCATTTTATGTGAAAATTTAAAAATTTTAAATGTGAAAAGTTGTCCGCTAGCGAGTTGTCAAAAAAAGGCCGACGAAACAAGACCCTGCCCGTCGACCCGCGGTTGATTTGTGTACCGGTTTTCCATCGGGCTCGTAAAGCAAAATCTTTGATTGATGCAAAAAAATATGTGTAATGAAACAAAGTTTTGCGTAGACGATTTTGTTGTTGTTTCTTTAAAATATTGTCCATATTTTAGTTAAGTGAAAACTTCTTTAGCGGCATTGAACACTTTTTTTGTAATGGATAAAATTTGTTAAACTCGCGCCAGGACACGTGAGCTGATCGAAAATTCGTAAGACGGACTGAGTACTTTTTCAAATTTAGTCATTATTTATTTTCTGCCTGTAACAGCCCATTTCACATAGCCCGCCAAAGGTTAAGGTGTCCACATTGTTTACCACACACATTCCCTAACAGTTGCAAATGTATGAGAGCAGCGGCAAACCTCTTCTTACCTTCCTTCTTTTGTGTCCTGACAAAATCGAACTATAAGTATTTAAATCGATAATCGTTAGTGTATGTGCTACGAAGTTTTGAGTCCGGATTCCTTGGACCATTTTAGACGATTCAAATGAGTTGTACTATACATCCAATTTGAATAAAGATATATGGATTTCTGATTTCATTCCCTAG